TCGACCTCGACTCAGGACGCCGAGCAGTTGGGCGTCGAGTAGCTGGGCGTCAACTTGGTGACGCCGACTTCGGGTAGCCGACTTGGGTGGTCGGCCAACAACTGCGCTGGTCGACGTGGAGCTGGTCGACCAGGAGTGACGTCGACCTGGAGCTGGTCGACCAGGGGCGTGGTCGACCTGGTGAGGTCGACTTGGGGTGGCCGTCGACTTGGGAGGTCGACAGGCACATATAGGTCGACGTGGTTGCCCGGTCGACCAGGTTACCTGGGTGACAAGGTTCTGCGGAGGAGTGCGACGGTCGCCCAGGCAAAGTTGGCGAGCCCGACCTCGGTGGTGGTATCCCGAGGTCGACGTGGCTGCTCAGATGCAGTCATCAGCGCCAGGTTGACTTGGTGTGTGCGCTGTGCAGGTGACAAGGCTCAGCACGCCAATCATCTGCGAGCACCTACGCAGTTGGTGCACTGCTGTTCTGCGGGAACAACGCTGGCACGCCATCAACCTGCAGTGTTGGCACGATGTCGACTTTGCACTGCTGGAGCGCGGTCGACCAAGTCGTGGTGGAATGCAGTCGACCATGCTGCGCTGGCAATCGACCGACCTGCATGCTAGCTCTGATGTAGTCTTGCAATGCCAACTTCATTGTACCATTGTTGTCAATCTTTGCTAGTGGAACTCTTGCAATATCTCCCCGTGAATGTGCAAGCAGAGAGCACACGAGCAAACAACTAAGGAACGCAGAGATTATACGAGCACCCGTGCCTAACCCGTAGTCTAGCTCCCGTTGCAACAGTTATCTCTGCAGTGATTACGGTTTACTTGCTGTATTTTGCTATTTTTCTATTCCTGCTGGTTTACGCTTGCTAGGTTGTGTTCACAGTACCGTATGGCCTCGGATAGAAGCGCAGGCCTATGTTAAGCGCATGCGCTTGTATCTGGAGCAATGCGCTTATGGCCGATCCTCAATTATAAGCGCACCCCTTTGGAAATCTTGACTTCTTATAAGCGCACCCTTTTAGTTAAAAAAAAAAGAATATCATTTTTTTTTACCTACCTAGCCTACATGTTTTAAACTTTCCATTAAGTTTGACAATCACATACAAGGGTGGTCTCTGCTGTCCTGCACTACACACCTTTCAACCTGCCTAGTCTACCCTACTGCCTATTCTTCCTCCTCGTCCGACTCAGGCTCCGTGGAGTTGTTGCCCCAGAACCCATCTGCCTGGATGTCGTCGTCCACCTCCACCTCATGGGACAACTGGCACCTTCGGTGCGCCAGCACCAGTTTGTCTTCGCTCCCATCAAGGGCGTTGCTGATGCCGCAAGTGAGGAAGGCTTTCTTGATGAGGTCGGCGGGCACCGCCTTCCAGGCCCGTGAAATCCACTTGAGCACCACCTCCGGAGGTGGTTTCTTGATGTTCCCTGCATCACACGGAGTGGGGCGGGGAAAACATGAGACAAGTAAACATGCATTCAAGCTCAAGATTTGCAGACGGGAGCACATGCCGTCACTCACCTGCCGGGGTCAGGATGTTCATGCCGTCCTCCTCAAACCAATTCTGGTACTGCTGATGAATGCTTGCTTTGAAGCTCTTGTTGATTGACACATCGAGGGGCTGCAGGTCTGCCGTGCAACCCGCCGGAATGATAGCAGGCACGATGTTGAGCGCCGCGAATCTCGCCTTGACTTCTGGTGTCAGGTGACCGCGATACGAGTCGAGCACCAGCATGGCGCTACGACTCTGCAGGCCGAATTTCGGCTTCAGGAACGGCACCACGCCCGTGTTGAGCCACTCGATGACGCCTGCGGCCTCCATCCACCCGTTCGCTTGGCAGCCGACCACAACATCTGCACGCAACGAAAAAGAACGGTTGACGACTCAGGTAGTAACGGGAATAAACACGCGCGACGATCACTTACCGTTCGGGAAGTCACCCTTGGGGAGTGTCTTGCGCTTGAAAAACACCCACGGCTTCAGCTTCTCGCCTGTCGCCGTGCACGCAAGCATGACGGCCACTCTCTCCTTCTGGTACCCACCGCTGCGGATGGGCACCGACCTCACGCCCGTCTGCTCCACGGTGGTCGTCGCCGGCTTCTCCAACCACAGCGGTGTCTGGTCGGCGTTGATGATGTAGCGGTTGTCAATGTCGTATTCGTTCCGGGCGTCACGTACGTACTGCCAAAAATCCTTGCACTGCTCAGCCACGTCTGCGGAACAGGGAGAAAAGTACATGTAGTAAACCAAATTAGTATGACGCACAGGAGACATGCGAAAAAAAAAACTAAGCGTAATCGGGATAAACCAAAATCAGCAGTAAACGACCCACTTACGCTCCTGTGTTTTCTGCGCCACCTTTGTTTTCATGCGCACGCTGAGGTTCCACCGCCTGCGGAACCGCTCCGTCCACCGCTGACTGCCTTTCCACTTGACGTCCGGGTATAGAACCTTCATCACTTCTTTGGACCACTCTTGCAGCCGGCCGACCGAAACCGCAACTCCGCGGCGTCGCCAGTCGAGGAGTTGCGCGTACACCTTTAACTCCATGGGGCGGTACCAAGACGACCTCCCGCGCCCGTGAAGTCGCATCCGTGCTCCGTGTGCAGCCTTGAGCGCCTCCGCTTGGGCTTTCCATTCTGTCAGACATTTTCGGTGTATGCCTGACTCCCGCGCCACTTCGCTCACCGAAGCCGCAAGCTCGAGCCGGACGAGCCACCTCAACTTCTCCTGGGCGGTGTAGCACTGCCGCTTATGTTGATTCAGCTTGTGCCTGGGGGAGGGGGGGCGGGCATCTCGATTCTCGGTAGACGGGTGGGGGCGTTTTTTGTTAAGGGGCGGATACGTCGGTACCGGCATCTTCGCGCGTGGTGCGTCGCGCCACCAGGACTCCACACCGTCCTCGTCCTCGTCACGGTCGGGGAACACGTCTTCCTCGTCGCCCGCTGCACCGTCGCCACCAGCTTCACCGTCGCCTCCAGCTTCGCCGGCGCCGCTGTCATGTTTGTCGGTAGCCACATCATCGTCGGCGCCCACAGCCGACTCATCCCACGCGCAGACTTCTGGTTGTCCCCACCGTGGTGCGGTCGCTGGAGCTTGGATGCGTGCATCGGGGGCCTTGGGTGTGTCCGCTTCAGCCAACCATTCGTCGAACGTGGCTGGTAAATACAGTTGGAGCACGGGCCGTTGGTGAGCACCTGCCGTAGCAAAAGTAGGCGGATTCGGAGGAGCGGGAGGTGCGGGAGGAGCGGGTGGAGCAGGGGGTGCAGGGGGAGCAGGAGGAGCAGGGGGTGCAGGGGGATCCGGTGGCACTGGAGGCGCTGGTGGCTCACGGGTATACCACCCGTCCTCGGTAAGTCGCCATGTGCGGCGTGGTTTCTTCTTGAAGAGGATGTGAGTCCCACTAAATTCCGCCATGGCTTCGCCTGCCAGGCGGGCTAGACAGGAAACTGAATGAAAAAATTAGAGACGAGGGTGAAGAAATGGGCAACGACGGGGACCCCTGCTGCGTGGCGGCTTGGGTTCCTCGTCGATGACAGGCAGGAAACCCCCGCCCACTCCCGTAGAGGCGCCTGCGTGGCAGCATCTACGCTGCGCTGGCAGGGAATCTTGCCGAACCTTCGAGATGGTTCTGCCCGAATGCACATGCTACGCAGCGCATGCGACTCTGATTGGGCCGCACGACAACATCCTCGTCACGGCTGTCACATTCGATGTTTCCAGACAACATTGTGCGGTGGGAAACCGAACCGCTGCGGTTTCTGCCTGAAAACCATGCACGATCCCACTTGGTGCATGGTCGGTTGAATTCGCCTTATTGAGAGCTTCACAATGGTGTGTTCAAAATTGATTTTCATTTTTCCCTTTATACAAGCGCATGCGCTTATAAATCTGACTCAATTATAAGCGCACCCCCCCAAAAAACAATGTTTTATTATAAGCGCAGGTGCGCTTCTATCCGGGGTATTACGGTACTGCTTTTGTTGTTATAACACTGCCTGTGAACTGGCCTTGTGGCTGCTTGCTTGTGCTTTAACTGTGTGGTGATCTTGAGATTTACCCTTAGCTTTGCTTCTCTCTTGACTGGTCTTGTGACCATCTATGTTTGTTGCCCTTCACTTAGCCTATTTTGGAGTGTTAAAATATATTTATGTATTGAAGTAGACAATAGGGAGTACAACCCTTCTAGGGTTTGGGTATATGTTTCTGAACTCTTGCTAGTGAATCCATTCCAATAATCTCCTTTCTAACAGCACCAGATTTTCTTATAAGCGCAGGTGTGCTTATATCCGGGGTAATACGTAGGTATGTGCAGGGGAATGCGGGGGCCAGTACATAAAAAACACACTGAAATAAGAGAAATTAGCGTAAAAAACCTGACTACTGAAAGCCTGCAGCACACCATATGTTGTGCTCTGAGCTGTTGTGTTTCTGCAGCTCCTGCCATCAACTCCATCACTAACCACCCCTCTCCTGCTCATCCTTTATCGTTGCCGCTTGTTAATCTCCTGCTCCTGCAGTGTACATCCGAAACATTGCTTCTCAGAATGTGCACTAGGCTTCTTTCAACAGCTCCAGCAAGACGAAAGAGCATCACACTGCAGAGATGACTTACAGGTATGTACATAACAGCCGCCGGTACTGCATCCAATTGCGCGTGCTGCTGTCAGTAGCAGCGTGTGACGAATGGCACCGCGTGAAGGTTCATGCGCTCGTGGTAAATGCGAAGAATGAGTGCCGCTGTCTCCTCGATAGGCCTCCCTGTCACGTCTGCCCACCCATGCATGCACGCACCCAGCAACAGCAACAGCAACGGCAAGCGCAAGTCATGCATACAGACACGCACATACATGACAGTTCCAATGCCAAAACAGCACACACTTGCAATGTGCAGCACTGCGCAAGCCATAAAGAGCCCTCGCAGCAGCTATCCGCAGAGAAGAATGCGGCGAGAGATAAGAGCATAAGGAGTGTTGCGGCCTACAAGCAGCATGGGGTGGAGCATACCAATGAGGGGCCAGAGGGGGTGCAGGGAAAAGAGGTCATCAGCCGCCTCCAGCTCGCCCCTCACATGCTCCACACTGCAGTACCTCCCTCCCCCTCCCATGCCCTCTCCATACGCCGCCCCCCTCTCCCCTCTTCCCCACGCGGACCTCTCCCTCCCTGCGCCGCGGTGCGGCTGCTGCGGCAGCAAGCCCAGGCGCTGGTAGCGTGTGCAGCGGATGGCGGCGAGAGTGGGAGCGGCGATGGTGAGGGCGAAGACGCGGCGCTGGTCCACGTGGTCTGCCTGCAGCAGCTCTGCTGGTGGCGCCACCCCCGGCACCAGCGGCACATTCGCCACCTGCACATGCGCGTGGGCACGCCGTGGGGTGAGCAGGCCATGGGGTGGGGCAGGGGGGCACGGGAAGAATATGAACTTAGAACGCCAGGCTTATGGCTCCAAATGGTGCTGTCAGTACTAGGAATGTACACCTGGCGTCAATCACAGCAACGTGAGAGACAGTGGTTCTGGAGGCGTAGTAAGAATAGTGAGGCTTCACAGAAATGGAGAAGGAAAGCTCTTAGTAGATGATTAAGGTCCTCAAACAAACAGCAACCTGGAGCATCGGAAGCACGTTGAACAAGGAAACAGAGCACGCAGCGAGGGAAATAAGGAACGACGGTATCAGGGAAACAGCTGAGCGCAACTAGGGAAACAGCTGAGCGCAACGAGGGAAACAGCTGAGCGCAACGAGGGAAACAGCTGAGCGCAACGAGGGAAACAGCTGAGCGCAACGAGGGAAACAGCTGAGCGCAACGAGGGAAACATGTACATCCTGTTGCCCAGACTGACAGCATAAGGCGAGTGGGGTGACCTTATAGCCCATGTGCGCAAGGTGCATGGAGAGCGGGGTCTTGCCGGTGCGGGACACGCCCACGAGAATGATGTCCGCCTGCCCCAGGTTCCGCGGCAGGGCTCCATCGTCCTGCCTGCTCGCAGCACGCCACGCATGCAGGCGCACACACAGGGGAGCAGAGGCGCACACACAGGGGAGCAGAGGCGCACACACAGGGGAGCAGAGGCGCACACACAGGGGAGCAGAGGCGCACACACAGGGGAGCAGAGGCGCACACACAGGGGAGCAGAGGCGCACACACAGGGGAGCAGAGGCGCACACACAGGGGAGCAGAGGCGCACACACAGGGGAGCAGAGGCGCACACACAGGGGAGCAGAGGCGCACACACAGGGGAGCAGAGGCGCACACACAGGGAGGCGAGTGCAGTGAGTGGTAAGAGCAGAGGCGCACAACAGCAGCTGCAGCGCCTTGGCTTGCACACTGCCAAGGTGCCTGCCCTGCACTACACTGCACGGGAGGTGCTGATGATTTGCTGTGAGACGTGGCACAGCAGGTGCAGACACGGTAGAGAGCGAGACACACAGGAGGAAGCACAGGGGAGCAGCAAGCAGCAAGCAAGCAGGGGGGGCGAGCGAGACACACCGGATGGTGAACTCCACCGCCTCGATGCGCCGGAAATACTCCTCGCCCAGCTCCCCCACACGCTTGCCCCCCGCGCCTTGCCCCGTACCCACTGCATCCACGCCCATATGCTCCCCCACAGCCGTCAGCAGCGGCCCCAGTAGGTCCACTGCTGCCACGTGCAGCGCCGCTGCTGTGTGCGTGGCGGTGTGGCGCAGAGCAGGGTCGGCGAGCGAGTGCACGAGGAGTGCACCGCTTGATGCAGCCATGTGGATGATAGCGAGGAGAGACGCCGTGTCTGTGACCTGAGGGGTGGGGCGAGAGGGAGGAAAGAGGAGAGCAGGCCAGTTTATCCACCTGCACATGCCAGCCGCCCCACTGCCACGTCCCCTGGCTCGCACATCAGCGCATTTGCCCCCCTGTGTGGGGAGGCGGTGCAGAGGGGGCCCGGGCCCATCTCATGTGAAGAGAGAAAGCGCTGGGCTGGCACGTGGCGACAATGGCGGAGCAAGGTGCGCTGCTGTTCTTGTGCATTGCGGGGAGGACTCGGGAGGGGAGACGGCGTGTGCAATGGGTGAACGGAGGGTGAGAAGTGACAAGAAGGGATTTTTGTTCATTGCACCTCCATCAGTTCTTCCTCCCCTGCCCCCCCCCCCCCCCCCCCTGTTCGTACCTGCGAATAGAGCCTGGTGTGCACGGAGCATCGGCCGTCTCCCACCCCGCAGTTCAGCAGCCCCACTGCCGCCCCCACCGCCCTGTCTGCCGCCCACGCCGTGCCGTCCGACACCACAAATATCTCCTTGCCACCCCCCCTTGCCCCGCTGCCATCCCCGTCAGCACGACCTGCTGCCACTGCCCCAGCAGCATGTGCCAGCGATGGTGCTGCCATGAGCACATCAGCCCCATGTGCTTCTGGTCCTTCCCTGCCCTGCATCACCGCGCCACTGCCCTTCCCCTCACCCGTGACCCCACGCGCTCTCGCCCTGCTGCTTCCCCAAAACACACTACTCGGACTTGGGCTGGGGCTGGGCGTGGTGGGCGTGGAGGGCGAGAGGGGGACGAGCAGGCCGCTGTGCGCCTCACTCATGCTGCTCTGCCTGCTCATCGCGTCACCGCCCCCTGTGCTTGCACTCGCACTCCCAACATTCCCATCACTACTAGCACTCCCATCGCTGCCATCGCTGCCATCGCTGCTATCCACGACCGTGTGGGTGCGCCCTGCCATCCTGCCCTCATGCCCGCTCTCTCTCTCGCTCTCGTTGCCACTCTCGCTCCCTGACTCGCTACCGCTTCCGGTGCTAGCGTTGGCAGTCAGAAGGCAAAAAATGTGGAGACGGGTGGCAGGATAAAAGTGCAGGGTGTACGTAAATGGGTAGGCGAGCAACGGTGGGTAAATAGCACATGCAAGGCAGCAGGAGAGCAACAGCAGGAGAGGAAGCGAGAGGGAGCAGCAGCAGGAGAGCGAGAGAAGGAGAGCAGCAGGAGGCGAAGGAGCGTTTGGCGTACCTGTCCATACCCTTGTCTCTGCAGCGGTCTCCACGCGCCGACCTGTCCTTGCGGGGCTGACACGCAAGATACGAGTTGGAGTGGGGGGAACAAGGCGCGCACAGATGAGTGACATGCAGCGGAGACGAGCGGAGATGAGTGGCGTGCGGCGGATAGCGGCCCGAGAAAGCATGGCAAGCCTCGCCGGACAACACGCGACGATGATTGTGTGGGGGAGCCCGTCGCCGTTGGCCCATCCTCCTATAAACGTTATGTTTCGCCCTCCCTACTCTGTACCTCCGTGCGCTGTCTTCCCGTACCTCCATGCTGGAAGCCTTTTCGTCGCCGCCGTGACAGTAAAGCGCCGCGCGACCTGTTCGCGTCCCTCCCGCTCTCGCGGCCCCTAGTTCGATCCTAAGGCTGCCTCGCCGTCGCACAGTCCCGCCGCCAGTCTCAGCGAAAGTCGCCCCGGTTGTCGCTGCCATCGCAGAGCGGGAGGCGCCAGAGGCTGCTGCTCCTCCCAATCCCGCCATCGAAAGCTGCTCTCGGATCCCCTCCCTGCTGATTGTCGACTCCTACATCTGGCCGCTTCGGGCCGCCCTGTAACGAGAACTCTAAAGTTGAATCGCGATACGTACTACAAGATTGAAGCGGATTGCATGATGGCAAGAACTCATTTTCAGCGAAGATGCATGCATCCCTCCCTACTAAGGGCGATGTCAGGTTGTACAGCGTTTTGTACGCCCTCTCTGGTAAAATTCGTTTCAAGACGGTGCAGAGCGGTAACTGCCGAGAACCGCTATTCACCGTGTTGGACCGTCCTGAACCACGATCTAGGAACTGTAAGCGCATGTGAAATGTATAACCTGACGTCGCCCTAACGGAGAAAGGAATGTCCAAGCTTGTGGAAGCAAGCTTGTCCAAGCTCGCCCGAGGCACGGCGAAGTGACAGGTTCGGGAGGTGTGGTCTGGTTTGGGGAGCACTTGGTGTGTTGTGTTTAGCTCTGCCGACGTGGCACGTACCCTGTCAACGTCAGCATCACTCGAACTGTGCTGGTAGAGTCTGTTCTACCGACAGTTGAACGACTGACGTGACTGACACGAGCATCGTATCATCTCACGTGGATTCTTCGCTGGAGTTTACGAGTGCAACGAGGGAACGTACGGAACTCCGTTGTGCAACGAGACAAATTCCCAACCTCCCGCTCGCGCTCTCGTTAGGACGTGCTGCTTTTGTAAGTTTGGGTGTCTACAAATTGGTCAGCATCTTGGATATGTGCAACGTAAACCTGCACAAAAGTGTTCATTGACAAGTCGTTCAACCTATCCCATCTAGGGTTGTCATTCCAACTAGGAAATCTAGGTTAAATCGAAACCGTTCAAGATTGTTCTCTCGACGGTTCAGGTTGCAACTTGAACTAACTTCACCAATTTACCCAATAGCCCTTACCGTATTGTAATCGCGTCCGTTCACAAGCTAAAGGTAAAGGAGGGGGGATATCCCCCTTTGGGTTACCCCCGGCTGTCGATCGTAATCCGCCTACCCACTTGTTTACACACCTCGCTGGTTATCGAGGTAAGGCATATCCACTCCCAGATGAGCAGTGCGAAACCCCCTTCTGGGGAGCTGGCGGAACTCGCCGGCACTAGGGTTTGAACCCAGAACCTCATCATTTGGAAATCCCATCTAACTTGACTAGGCCACTTCAGGATGCGTCCATCCACAAGCATTCGCATCCAATGCTCATCCTTCCGCCACCACCACACTCAAAGAGTGGGGATACACGCAAAAACGATAAAACTCAGTGGATCAGTAGGGAGCTGTTTGACAAGCATCGGCAGGCACAGAGTCAGCAGGCACAGAGTCGACACCAAACTACGAACTAGAATGTGTCACTTTTCACAAACTACTATGTGTCGACCTTATTTCGGGGTACTTGCTCAGTACGAGGTGATTGTACAACTTCCCTTATACAATTTACCCCTCGAGGCTCTCCTGCTGTTAGCTGTATCACAAGACTTCTAAGTCTGGCCGTCTCCCGCCATCAGCTTTTGCTGAGTCATCTCGCCCTTCCAATCTGTAGTAAGTCTTGCGAGTCGCCTCGCCCTCCCAACATGTAGTGAGGTCGCAGGGCATTGGTCCGTCGCAAGGTGGTGGGGCTGTGTCGCAGGAGCGCGACGAACCGTCTCCATCCAAAGGTTTGGAGTCCTTCCTCCACTCCAGGGCAGATTCTGTTTGGACGCTCGTCGCATCCCGCCCCTAGTGCCCTAACTGAGCGACCGAGAGGGCTCATCGCTTACCATGGATGGCGTCCCGACGGCGGTGGACAGTCGTCAACTCAACTCTCGCCAAAGCTCCGAACCATATTCGTATTTCCTGCTCTCCCATTGGGGGTATTTCTACTCGCCGCTTATCATCCACACCCCACACTTTCCTTTCCGCAATTTTCTTCTGATCAGATCGACCAGCAGGTAGCGTGCGGTGCTACTAGTACCGCCGCTGGGACTTTTTTATACTCCGACCAAGACCTACCGCAGCGCAATGGCCGCAACGGCCGTCATCGGAGCACGTCGCGCCACGTTCTCCACCTCGGGGCTTCTCCCGGTGCTCGTCCTCGCATTGCTGTTGCACGCGCCAGGCGCGTCCGCCCGCTAATGGTTTTGGAACCACGGCCTCTTCCGCGTTGCGCCCACACAGGAAATGACGCCCACCGTCGCGATCACCGCCGCGCAGCCCGAGGGAGCTTCGGCGGAGGCTGCCGCGACGCCAGCCCCGGCGGCGCCGGGGCCGGCTCCTACGGTATCGTGCTCCGACGCCCCCGTGGACCCTTTCATCGTGTCCGGAGCCGCGCCTGACCCGTGCGCTGCGTTGGCAGCGGAACTGGTGAGCACTGGCATTGAGAAATTGGGGAACAAGACCGGAGGGCTGGGATTTACGGCTCCTTCTCTCTTCAAGGCTTGCTACTCCACGTTCCTGTTCAGTTAGTGTACCGCTGCTACTCATGCCGTGTGAAAAGTCGTCGTTGATTCTTTATTATCCACGCTCAAAATGCACCACTAAATACGAACTTGCATTCCATACTTGCTGGGCGCGGATATGCCGGCCTGATTCGAGGTTCTGCTGTTTGCCATGGTGGTGGCGGATGTGGCAGGAAGGAGTGCACCGTGCAGGACCTGCTGTCCATCGCGAACGCGTTCGACAATCACTACGTGTACAAGCACATCGCGCTAGACTCGCCCGACCATACCAACCTGCCGAGCACCATCGATATTGTCGCGTAGCTTCGGAAAGTCGTGGCGAACGGCGAGGTGGGGAAGTACGCGCGGCTGGTGGACGCGCACATGGCGGCGCGGCGGGCGACGTTGGCGCTCAACGACGGGCACAGCATGTTCGACCCGCACTGCTTCGCTGGCGCCTTCAACTTGCCGCTGCCGCTCGTAGATGTCGTCGAAAACAGCGGCAGCAAATCATTCGCGTTGCGCCGCGCCAATGTGAGTTTTTCTCGCAACGGTCAAAGTTGGTCAGTTATATTTCCAAGGACTCCGTTGCAAAGCAAATCTGCGCCCCTCTAAAACCATACTATAGGTAACACTTAACTTTTCGAAAATTAGCCCTTTTATTGATTCTTTATTACTACTTGCCGTCAGATGTCCCAAAAGGGTTGGACAGTGTTGCGAAGGGTTGTCACAAGGTAGGAAACAAGAATGACTAGAAACAAGACGGTACAAGGTTGTATGGGCAAAACCTAACAGTACTGTACCCCATAAGGAGTGCCCCACTACAGCCTACAGTATAGTTCTGACACACCCCGATAGGCAAAGCGAGGGACAAGCAAGAGAACAAGGCAAGGTCAAGCTCAGGGTGGATCACAACGTCACCATGCATTCTGAGCACAAGTACAAGGCCACAAGTCCGGTTCACATGCAGGATTATAAATCAAAGTGAACAAGCAAGACAGTGATCTCAACCTAGCAAAGGTAAGCAAGCAGATGCAGATATATATAGATCAAAGTACAAGCAAAGTCAAGAGGTAAGCAAGTGAGGCCAGGCAGGCACAAGACCTAACATAGTACAAAAGCAGTGATGATCACAAGGCTGAAGTGCCTTGGTAAAGATATCAGTAGTGTTGGCTCGAGAGGCCACGTAAGCAAAACAAAGGTGACCCCGCTGCTGCAACTCGCGAGCAAGGAAGTAGCGCAGAGCAATCTGCTTCATTCTGTGCTCCAGTCTGTGCTCTTGATATAACGCCAGCATGGCCTTGTTGTCGACGTAACGAACTGGAGGAGAACGAGGCGCCTCTCCCAAGTCGGTTAGCAAGTAGGTGAGCCAGCGTAACTCTTGAGCAGCCATGGCCCCAACGTAAATCTCAGCCTCACAACTGGAGGTGAGAACAAAGGACGAGCGGGTAGACCGCCACGAAACAGAGCTGGTACCAAGGCTGAAGGTGTAACCCTGTGACGACGGCTGCGTAGCCAAGTTGTCAACCCAAGAAGCGTCTGCATGACCAGTGAGGACCACTGAACTCCGCCCTCCAAGCACAAGCCCCATGTCCGACGTAATGCAAAGGTAGCGCAACACCCTCTTAGCTGCATCCATGTGCTTTGGTCGGTGTCTCCTAGAAGCAACATAGCGTGTCAAGATGCTAAGAGGGTATGCCAGGTCAGGTCGAGTGCAGCAGGTCAAGGACCTGCTGCACCATGTGTGACTGAGTCAAGGTAATGGTGCGCCGTGCTCTGTCC